AATAAAGAGTTTAGAGAATTACAAACACAATATATCCTGGTTCGGTCACCTACGTCCAGACTGAAGTCGCTCGATCAACTCTTTCACTGATGGTCAAGCTTCACGGGTGCTTGACAAACTTTTACAATCTTCCAAGACTTCAGATTCTTGGATACCTTACAATCTCCAAGTTTACGGGTACTTGGCAACCTTACAATTCACTCCAAATTTACTTAGGTATTTGGCTACTTCTCAAACAATGGATCTCACAGCCCTTTAAACTCAAGAATACAAGGAGGAAAATATTTGGAAATGAATATACATTCTCAAAGTGTGCATATACAACTTGAAGCACTATTGATATATGGATTTTCAAGATATGAGCTCAAATATGTTTGATCTTTGAAAGATATGAAAGAATATGCAAATGATAGTGTAGAAGCTCTCAAATCATCCTTAAGATGTGCAGGAATAATGATCTTCACGTTTTAGGGTCATAAGGAATGTATTTATAGTGATTTTTAGCAAAACTATCCATTTTTAGCAAAACTTTTCCAGAGAGTGGGAATCGATTTCTACTCATAAGGAATCGATTCCCAACCTGTTGGAAAGGTTGGAAATACGACAACAATAACATTATTTCATATTTTGCGTATAACCTGAGCTATTCTTATCGGATTGATGTGATCTTAGTCTCGTTGGAAAGATAAAAGAAAGATCTACAACTTTTATGATGAACACAAGATCTAAATCCATCATCTTGGATACGAAAAATTGTATTGAAGGCAGAAGCAAAATTATTAAGCAAATTCTAAGTTCAAATGTGTTCTAACTTGTTTCCAACCACTTTTTATGAAAGATCTTGACTTGATAAATATGTTTTGAAGTTATAAAACATGTCAAGTATCTTTTCCATTGATTTTTCAAATTTTTTTCAAGTATATAAAGGTTATGATTATGCAATTCGAAAAACACGTTTACTTTAAGAATAACTTTGTGCTCATGCAATGCAATCTACCATATACCTTCACATATATTCTAAGTCCTAAAGATATATTCTAAATATGATTTTAGACTTAGCTTCATGTCTCGTGTCTTGGATCTTTACTTGAGCTTGATGCTTTGACTTGTTGGATATGACAATGTTTGACATTTTGTTAGTTTTGATCATTTTTCACCATGGTTATGAGATTGAGCTTCTCTTAGATGTTGTCCATGGTTTGTTGTCTTTGATCTTGGTGTTGCTCTTCTAATTATTCCTTGTTGCTCTTGATCCAATGATCTTGCCACTTTGATATGACATTACTCTTCTTGTGTGGCTACATCATACATCTTCAATATTCATATATGGTTGATACTTTTTGCTCTTGATCAATGATCTTCTCTTTTTATTGTTGTCATTTTGTTATCATCAAAACATACCTTGTATTTACAAAAAGATGAGAGAACATAGATTGAAGTGATTTGGGCAAATAATGAGAAGACCCATGGATGCTCCCATAAGAACAAAAGTTTGTTAGCAGGAGCTAGGCACAAGAAAAGGTAGAGGTAGACCAAAACTTACTTGGGGGAAGGTAGTAAAACATACTTAAAGGAGTGAGATATAGATTTGCATACAGTGTGTCTTAGGACGGAATGGAGAAAAGCTATAAGCATGGTGGAGGGTTAGACCCGCATTGTTTTGATCATGGAGGAAAGCTTGCTTGCTGAAGCGAGCAAGCCAACGAGCATAAAATCAAGTTGTTTTGATCTTTGCTTGCTTGAATCTTGTCTCCTCTTACTTAATTGATCCATCAAAACTTTAATGCAACACTTCAAACCTGAAAATGATATATTTTAGAGTTAGAATCATACTCAAGAATCTTTTGCATTTGATAATAAACACTATGCATTTAACCATTTACAACGTTATTTACCATACTTTTGGCCTTAATAACATGGTGTGTTTGAAACCTAATATTAATAAATTGGATTGAAAAAGACAATTCATGTTGTTTAGAAATTGCAGTAATGCAATTTCATATTGCTTGGAAATTGCACTGTAATTTCATGTTGTTGAGAAATTACATTGAAGACCGATAAGAATTAGTATGTTATATTGTTTATCACATTTTGGCACTACACTATTAGGCCCATGATTCATAAATATGTAATACTTATTGTCTGTGAGCATGAAAGGTCATATGTTAGAATATTTTCAGTATATTGATCGCCATGTTCCTATGATGGAGTTATGTTGAATTGAATTGTACTGAAATTGTAGAATTGGAATTGGAATATTGTTTTTCAAAATCGTGGCCATGTAAAATAATTTTTAGTTATTAACCTGATAGAGTCATTTTCAACATAAAGTTATTTTCAAAATAATATGAAACTAAATAATAAAGCCCAAGTGAGAGAATGTTGGAAAATTTTATTTATGTGGGCAATATTAATTAATTAGTTTTGTGTTTTAAAATTAATCTGGTTAATAGATATTTTAATTCTATTATTTTGATTAGTCCATTGTGATCATATCGAATTGAACTTTTGGCATCAGCTGACATTGGGCCTAGTTAGGAGAAAATGTAGGTTTTAGTGTGACCATGGTTTCCATGATGGGTGGACCAAATGTACACAAACGTTTTTGGGTATCTGTCCAGGTCCCCTCTCTAACCTATTTATATTGGGGTTAAATCTTATAAGTCATCATGCTCCCATCGTATTGAGGCTGCCACTTTCGGAATAAGAGATAGAGAGAAAAATCATGGCATAGAGTTCCTTCTTTCCACCGACTTTGTGATGGTCCAACAAGGTATGCACAATCCCAACTTTAATTTCATATTATTTGATATTTTATAATCATATATATAATCCAGGAATAATAAATCTTTCAAAAATAATTTTGAACCTATTGTTCAAACCCAAGAAATGGGAATGATGGCTCTTTTTGAGCCTAGATTTCCCTTCAGCTTTTTCTTTTTCGTTTTTGCAAAATATTTCTTTATTGCATCAAATTTAATGCTCATTGAGTGTTTGAACTTCAACCTCAATGGTAATGATGACTGCCAATGGACATAATAACGATTGAATTGATATTACACTGCAATGAAATTTAATACATAGAGCAACACCTCACTCCAAGTTTATAAGTGATCATTAACTTCTGTACCGTATTTTCAATGCTTTAATCAACTCCAGCTCCATTCATTCATCTTCAATTGATAACATTGATGACTTTTAATGCATTATCTTAAATTTTCACAAAGTTTTTAGATTGTTATTGCTTCTTGGGTGCAGTTTTGGTGGTGTATGGGAAAGAACATATATATTCATTTAAGCTCAAGGGGCATTAGAAAGAGGTATGAGATACTTGGTTTGATACATGAAACAGTTCCTCTTGTTATTTAACTACTTAGTAAAACTTTTCAAAACACTACTCATTCTTAAGTCAAAAATTTGAATTATAAGTGAAAAAAGGAACACAGCTCCTATGCTCAATGGGGTATTTAGGCTTAATGAAATTTCCTAGTTTTGCTAGATGGCAACTTCTCAATTTTCAACTTAGCGCCTCCGTTTCCATTTTTAAAACACAACAAGAACTTGTGTTAGCATGTGCAACACTATATAATTTTGTTAGTAAAAGATTTCATTATGATGAATTTCCAATTGAACCAATAAACAAATCTTCATCTTCAATATCACTAGCTAATGAAGAAGATAATTTTGAATCTATTGTTTAAACATAAGAGCAGGAACCAAAATATAGTAATACTGGGGACATTGTAAAAAATAGAAAAAAAAGGAAAATTTCATAGAATATAATTGATTTAGAAATATTAAGTGTTTTGCTTAATTTTTTATTTGTCATTAATTCTATCAACTGTATATATGAGAGATTAACGTACTTCTGTAACACGAGATAAAATTATTTTCTGTTATAAGAGAAACATTTTTAAATTTATTTTGATCATTTAAAATTTATTTTGAGACATCATAGCTTTAATCCGAATATTATAACTTCTACATTTCGTAAGTCGAAGAATTTTGATTAATATATATATATATATATATATATATATATATATATATATAAAGAGAAAAGTATTTGTCATTTTAAATGACATAAAATTATGTCATTTTAAGAGAGAGGTAGATACAAGAAAATAATTTTTTTATTAAAAATTTAAATTAAAAAAACTACTCACTTTCTCTCCCATGATTTTTATTTCTTGTGTCTATCTCTCTCTTAAAATGACATAATTTATGTCATTTAAAATGACAAACACCATATCCATATTTAAAAGTTGAATTTATCAACACCAGGAAAAATATCACACTTTATATGAAAAAAAACGATATGAACATCATTGGATATTAAAAGGAGCCTTATCTTATCTCTTATATAAGTCAATTCATCAATTTCTATCTAGAGGAAGGAATTATATTTGAAAATTGGAATTATAATTTGAAAATACCAACATATGACAAGCAAAATTCGATTTACATAATATAGAAGTTATAACATTCGGATTAAAGTTAAGGGGAATGATTCATTTATAAATTTTTTTTGAATTTTTTTACAAATTATACTATTTTCTCCCGGGAGAACATAGTGTAACCAGTGTTCTTTCGAGAGAAGATAATGTAGTTTGTAAGAATTTGTAAAAAAAAAATGTGTAAATATAACCTGCCCTTAAAGCTATGGTATCTCAAAATGAATTTTAAAGATTCAAAATAAATTTAAAAAAAGTTACCAAATACGAATATTCAACCAACTCAATCATTAGTTTTTTACTATTTTATTTATATTTAATATGGGCCGGGCTAAATAACCCAAACCTGATTAAAGCTCTCTGTATAAAAAAGTTCTCATGGCAAAATATCTCGCATCAACATTTAGAGAGAAAATTACCTATAATACCCCTCCGAGAGCAGAAGAAAGATCGAGAAGATGCTAACCAAATGGTAATTTTACTTGTCCACCGCCAATAAGACGCAAACGCAAGCGCACTTTAAAAACCCTAGAATACAACTCTTCAAAATCAAATCGAGCATCACCGGGGCGTCTTTCTCGGTTTCGCCACAACAGGTTACCATTCTACGCTAATTTCTACTCTAATTCGAAAAACCTAATTCTGCAATTTCGATGTTCTAACAATTGATCATTTATATTTTGTTTGCTTTACACTTTTTCAATCCGGCGATTGCTTATGATTTTTTTACTCTGTTACAGGACTGGGTCTAATATTAAATTGACATGCTGTGTTTTGTGATGCTTTAGATTTTAGAGCCACCTAGGTGTATCATGTTACTGTTTTGCTAGACAATGATGCCAGTTTATTGTATTTAATATTAGGGTTTTTATTGTGGTGTATTTGGTCTGAATTTTTTATTTGCAACTTGACAGGAGGGAGAGGGTAAGCTTGAAGCAAAATAAGAAAGGGATTTTTTTTAAATAATAATATATCTTGATTTTAATATGATTATATTTTAATATTGGGGGGAAAGTGTAGATGGAAACCTGTATTGAATATTAATATGATTATATTTTATTTAATGCTTTGTTTTAAAATGGAACAAACTTAATCTGGTGTCTTTCTGTTGTTTTTATTTATCGAAGTGATATGTTTATTTCCCAAGTCTTTAGAGAGATGAAAATGAACTGTGATTAGGAGGATGGTTTGATGTTCACGTGTAATTTTGTTCCTGTCTTTTATGCTTGATGTTTGGGACCAAGCACCAGTTTTATGGTTTTTTTATCTGTATGGATATGCCTTAAATATTGTCCTTGTTATTCATTCCAAGGTTGTTTGTCTAGAATTGTTCGAAGATGGCTGATGCTCATGAGACTGATAAGAACATTGAGGTGTGGAAAATCAAGAAATTGATCAAGGCTCTTGAGGCTGCTAGAGGAAATGGGACGAGTATGATTTCCCTTATCATGCCCCCACGTGATCAAATCTCTCGTGTTACCAAGATGCTTGGTGATGAGTTTGGAACTGCTTCAAACATCAAAAGCAGGGTGAATCGACAGTCTGTTCTTGGTGCAATCACTTCCGCTCAACAGAGGCTTAAGCTTTATAACAAGGTTCCTCCAAATGGGCTTGTTCTGTATACTGGCACAATTGTGACTGAAGATGGGAAGGAAAAGAAGGTGACTATTGATTTTGAGCCTTTCAGACCTATCAACGCATCTCTATATCTCTGTGACAACAAGTTTCATACCGAAGCTCTAAATGAGCTCCTGGAGTCTGATGACAAGTTTGGATTTATTATCATGGATGGCAATGGTACTCTGTTTGGAACCTTGAGTGGTAATACAAGAGAGGTGCTTCATAAGTTTAGTGTGGATCTCCCAAAGAAACATGGAAGAGGAGGGCAATCAGCTCTACGGTTTGCCCGTCTTCGCATGGAGAAGCGTCATAACTATGTGAGGAAGACTGCAGAGCTTGCAACCCAGTTTTATATTAATCCTACTACCAGCCAGCCCAATGTTTCTGGACTAATACTGGCTGGTTCAGCTGATTTCAAAACTGAGCTTAGTCAGTCAGATATGTTTGATCCACGACTTCAGGCAAAAATACTTAATGTTGTAGATGTTTCCTATGGAGGGGAGAATGGGTTTAATCAGGCTATTGAACTATCTGCTGAAATTCTGTCCAATGTGAAGTTTATCCAGGAGAAGCGATTGATTGGAAAATACTTTGAGGAAATTAGCCAGGATACTGGAAAGTATGTTTTTGGGGTTGATGATACTCTAAAAGCTCTGGAAATGGGAGCTGTTGAGATACTTATTGTTTGGGAAAATCTGGATATGAATAGGTATGTCCTAAAAAATAGTACTACTGGTGAGGTTATCATTAAGCACTTCAATAAGGAACAGGACGCTGACCAGAACAATTTTCGGGATCCTGAGAGCTCTGCTGATTATGAGGTTCAGGAAAAGTTGTCTCTGCTAGAGTGGTTTGCAAATGAATACAAACGGTTTGGTTGCACTCTTCAGTTTGTCACCAATAAATCTCAAGAAGGTTCACAGTTTTGCAGAGGTTTTGGCGGGATAGGTGGGATCTTGCGTTACCAGCTTGATATGAGATCGTTCGATGATTTGTCTGATGATGGAGGTGTATATGATGATTCTGAATAGCAATCAATGAAATACTTCCTACTGCTGGTGCAGGAAATGGAGGTCAAAATACCTGCACCAGTATGTGGGGTGGTCGCAAGTGCTGCGACTCCTGCTCCTGCTCCTCCTCGGCTGTCTGTGATGTTGGATGGAAAATTTGATTGTGAATCAAGGTTCAATTTTATTCCGCTTTCCCTGCATAGGTTTTAGATTATACCTGATGTTTGTTTGTTTTTTTTTCTTAGAAATAACATCTTAGAAAAAGTTTCTAATTGTAATTTGTGAATCAAATAAGTTTTTTAAATTGTTTGTTTTATAAACTTATATTTTCAGATGCTTAACCCCAAAAGTGCTTCTTTCTGATATGAGTTACTCTCCTACTTGTTCTCTCTGTCTGGAGCCACAAATTTCAGCAACAACCTCACTGGCATCATCTGGTAAAAATCTGCCATGTCCTCTTATTTTTTGATCTATTTTTATAGCGATCTTCCTTAATGTGCTTAAGTATTATTCTTAGCTGATTTCTGCCTATTAATTCTGCAGGTCTCTGCTTGCGCTCAGAAAGGCAAGAATAAAGATTGTGCTCTCAAAAGAAACAAACCTAGCATCAATGAAGGTCAGTCCCCGTAAATGAGCTAAGATGGATAAACTCATGTACTTTTTTATTCTTTTGCACAATTAGCTTTCATTATTTCAACTGCCCAAAAACAGAACGTAGTTGTTCAGCTGTTTTACCTGCATTCAGAAATATAGCTCAGACACTGGTCCCTGATATTTTTGTTTCTTTTTTAATACTTTTCCTGAAGCACTGCTCCATCAATTGAAAAAAATCATTTTTCTGATCTAAAAATTTACTGGCCCATGTTTCTTCATATTTGGACGGATTGGCACCAATCTCTGTCATATCATGCAGATTTAGATAAAGAATACACATTGTATTTGTGGAGTTTGATGAAAGATTCCTTCCTTTTGATCCAAGAGATGAAATTTGCTTTTTATCTTTCCATTGCTTTTAAATTTTCAAACTTTTGTAGTTTTAGTTGCAAATTTCTGACTGTGCTCAGCTTAGATAGTACACTTCTATTCTAGCTTTCCTTCTTCTGGTGTAGTCTTTAGATATCATGAGATTTTAAGCAAATTGAAAATTCTTCTGCTTTGTAGTCTTTAGATATCATGATATTTTAAACAAATTGAAAATTCTTCTGCTTTTAGTCTTTGTTTGCCCTGTCTGTCTATGTGACCCCTGTAAAGCTTTGATGAAGAAGAAGCTCACTCACTAGGTTATTCTTTCTAGAAGTCCATTTTACTTTTACCTCTTTCCATTGAACAAGATGATTGAAGGTTAATGCAACTCTGTTATTGTTGAATAGAAAATATTTTCTGAGTTTGATGGTCAATCTGTTTTCATAATTATAATTTGCAAGGAAAAGAAGCCAGGCTAGGTACCTTTTGTCGAGTGCTTTGCTTTAATCTTTTCACCAACTTATGTTTTTCGTGCTGATATTGATTGCTTCAAGACAATATGATGGTTTTTTAATCAATATATGATTGAAGTAAGTGAAGGAACATATGGGCTTTAATAATGATTGGCTAATGTTCTTTTGATTAATTTATACCAAGCTTGTTTGTAATATTCTTCTCATCTATGCTGCATACTTCTTTATATGGAGACATTTTTCCTTAGGCAGTGCTTACACTGGGAATTTGCAATCGCTGGGTTCTATTTCTTTTTTTATTATGATTTGCTAATGTTCTTTGGTTTAATTTTTACCGAGTCTGTTTGTTTATATATATGTTATATTTCTCTCACCTATGCTTATATGTGCACTTAGGGGCTTTTTATTTATTTATTTGAGTAAGCAGAGGCTTTTTTGCGTAGGAAGTGGCTACGGCTGTGCTGCCAATATGGCATCTGAATAATTGCTTTACATGGTTTTGTAGGTGAATCCAGATATTTCGATGTACGTGGTTTTTCAAGTATGCTCGAGCATATACATGGCACTTGAGTGCTTAAGTCATGCTTTAATTGCTTTACATGGTCTATGACTATATCTTCCGTGCCTTAATCATGCTTTCGGAACTTTGCTTTGTTGAACTGATGTTCTTATTGCTTTCTTGGTACTGTACCCTTGATGTGCTTCTATTAACCGTATGACTTATATTCACAGGTTGCTTAATGGTGTGTGATATGATGTTATGAGATTTTTATTTCTTATTGATATGATATTATCAATACCCTTGCTGCTGCTTTTTGCTTTGAATATTTGGGGTTGGTTGGGAATTGCCTCGAGGAGCGTGTTTGTCAACTTTGAGGTGTTTTTTTTTACCCTTCTAGTTGTGCATCGTTTTTGTTTTTTGTGTGCATCGTCAGGTGCTTGTTGAAGCTCTAGATTTGTGCATTTGAATGAGGGTGGTTTAGCCAGGCAGTGGAGGCTTAAATACGTGTGTCAATGATGTCTAGGTATTATGAATTGGTGCCTGCTCTGTAGGGTATATACCCTTGGAACAATTTTGGGTGAGCCACCAGATTGGATGCTTGTGTTTGCTGGGAGTTGTGCTTCCTCTTGGAAGATTCCAATTCAATTGTGGAAGTATAACTGGCCTTACTTTTATTTAGATCCTCATTTTAATTTATAAATATCCTGTTTAGGAGTTTGAAAGGGGGAAGTTCAAATTTAAAAATCAACAATTAAAATTGGTCAAATTTCTTATAATTTTTGGTGTTATATTTCAAGCAGCAGATTAATTACATGAAAGGACTCGAAAGAATTAGATTTACACCCTGATGGTACCAGAATATCAGATAAGAATAAATCATGAACAGACCTCAATAGAATGAATGAATGATAAAGAAACTACAACTGATAAAGAAACTACAACTGTCATTGCGATACAGTATTAGTACAAGATATTAGAAATCATCAAAATTCTATTACCCTTCCTATTACAAGTTTAGAAATAACATGATCCGATTAATCTTTTTTTAGCCACTGAACGATTTAGTAATCGTACTTTTACATCTTGCTATAATTTCCCCCTATCTTCGCGCACTTTCTCTCCTTTTATTTTCACTTCTCTTATCACATCCTTCTCTACACCCTCTCTTAATTTTCCTTCTTTGTCCGTGGCATTTTTACTAACTAACTCCCTATCTTTTGTCATCAACTGTTATGTTTATGAAAGACTTTAAGGATTCATCAACACCTTTTTCCTGAAGTGTCATCTTGTCCTTAAGGTGAAAAGTTGGGATGTGGTTCAAAATTTTCCAAGTAAATTCGCAATCGAGAAGCGCCTCCCTCGCACTTGACCAACACTTCAAACGGTCCATCTAACAATCGGTGAACCTTTGAAACCTCAGCTAGCAAAACTTGCATTTCTAATTCAGCAAACAAGCAACTTGGAAGAGGTAATACTAGAATTGATGGATGAACTGTCCTTTTAAGCCGCTTAACTTGGAAACTGGGATGTACTTTGGAATATGAAGGGAGCTCAAGTTGATATGCTATTGTTCTTACTCGCTTGATCAAATCAAAGGGACCGTAACAACGTGGGCTTGACTTCTGATTGACTTGATTAGCCAAGGAACACAACTTATATGGCTGAATACGTAAAAAAATCTTGTCACCTACCTAAAATTCTTCATCTCTATGTCGTTTATCTACTTGTTGCTTTATTTTTTCTTGTGCCTCACACAAATTCTGCTTTAAATTACTAAGAATGACATCTCCAGCTAACCGCCACTGGTTGACTGTAGCAACTGGAAAACTGCCAGCCTCAAAATGAATCAAATCAGGGGGATCTCTACCATAAATAGTTCTAGAATGATTTATCTGAATTGATCTATTATAAGAGTAATTGAACCAATGTTCTGCCCACTGGTCGACTATAGCTACTGGAGAACTGCCAGCCTCAAAATGAATCAAATCAGGGGGATCTCTACCATAAACAGCTCTAGAAGGATTTATCTAAATTGATCTATTATAAGAGTAATTGAACCAATATTTTGCCCATGGTATCCATTTTGCCTAACTCTTAGGATGTCCATTCACAAAGCCACTTAGATAAAATTTCTAAGTTCCTATTAACCACCTCTGTCTGCCCATCCGTTTGTGAATGATAGGCATAATTGAACTTTAATTTTGTATTCGCCAAACGAAATAGCTCTCCTCAAAACTTGCTCACAAAACGCAGTCCCTATATGAAATTATAGATATAAGGAACTCATGTAAACGAACTATTTCTTTAATGAAGGCTGCCACCACCTCTTGGGTTGTAAATGGATGTTTGAGTAAAATAAAATGAGCATATTTACTCTATCGAACCACAACCACCAATGGTGTCCATGCCCAACGATTTCAGTAGACCACCAATAAAGTCCATTGTATCATTTTCCCATATTTTATCCGGAACTGGCAATGGTTAAAGTAGTGCCCCAGGGAGCAAATTTTGATACTTTTTGCTGTAGACAAATACCACATGCGCGAACATTCTTATGCATTCCCTTCCAAAAAAATATAAAATCGATGCAACCTTTTTATAAGTGTGTAACTTGCCTGAATGCCCTCTCCATGGAGAGGAATGAAATTCTTGCAAAATTACTGGTATTTAAGGAGAAGTTTTGGAAATCACCAACGTATTCTTATACCATAAGGAACCCTTCATGACGTAAAACCCCGGGTAGGAGTCAGGATTGATGAGAATTTCAGTCATTATCTTGGGATAAGCTTCATCCTGAAGTACTTCCTCTGAAATTGTTTGCAGATATGAACTTGAGGTCATAGTAAATTACACTCCATCATTCTAGACAAAGCTTCAGCAGCTTCATTTTCCACTGCAGGTTTATTGGATCCCAAAATCAAACCCTAAAAGTTTAGCCACCTATTTCTGTTGTCTACCTAAAGATGTGCTCGTATGTTTTTATTATGAAATGATGTCTCATAAGATAGTGACGTGATATTTGGACAGCAAACACAATTGAACCCGCACATAAACAGACGACGACCTGGACTGATCTGAAAATGCTTGTCTTAAAAATGCAATGGGTCGTCTTTTTTGCATTAGGGCAGCTCCCATACCTATACCCGAAGCATTCGTTTTCACCACAAAAAATTGCATAACCTCTTCAGATTAATCGGTACAAGCCAATGCTGCATTGCTTTTACTTTTGTTTGATTCGCTTTCACTTTCACTTTAGCCACCTATTTCTGTTGCCCAACTCAGCCTTCGCAAAGCTACAATTTTTATAGTTAGTAGAAAAGTGATTTTGTCTGAGCAACTCCAATACCTTTCGAAGGTGATTAACATGCTACTCCAGATTATGAATAGCTGATGTTAGGGTTTCTTGTAATCCTATTTATATTTGCCTTGTAAACCGAGAGACTTGTAACGAGTGGCGGTGAGGTGAATATAGTACAGACAAGCTGGACGTAGCCTATAT